TTTTGCTAGTCAGTGTAATGTGATGACCATCTATCCGCCTTATGCTCGTATTTCATCACTACTTGCATTTTTTATTCACTGAAACCTCATCCAGTACTCGTGTTAATAGTTAATTATACCACTTTTTTGCTTACAGAATACCAGATGAGGGCTATTTTCACATGAAAACATATTGCTATCTATATTCCCAAGTACAAACCGAGACTCCTCAAAGGGCGATCGAATCCAGGACCTGTCTATAGGACCAGTGGCTCTTGCCACTTACCCCACGAGTGAGCCCTTTATTAATAGCGAGAAATATTTTTAATAAATTAGTATTGAAAAACGTTTTGCTAGTCAATGAATTGATAACCATCCGCCTGTGCTCGTATTTCATCACTACTTGCATTTTTTAATTCACTGAAACCTCATCCAGTACTCATGTTAATAGTTACCTATACCATTTTCTTCGCTTACACAATACCGGATGAGGGCTATTTTCACATGAAAACATATTGCTATCTATATTTTTAAGTACAAACCGAGACTCCTCAAAGCGGAATTGAACCCAAGACCTCTGGTTCAGGACCAGTAGCTCTTGCCGCTTACCCACGAGAGCCTTTATTAATAGCGAGAAATATCAATTTTATAAATTAGTATTGAAAAAGGGTTTTGCTAGTCAATGAAATCTGATAACCATCCGCCTTGTGCTCGTATTTCATCACTACTTGCATTTTTAATTCACTGAAACCTTATCCAGTTAATAGTTAATAGTTATTAATTTTCTCCGACATAAACGTGACGCGGGTGGTGCGGATGTGTTTCCAAGGGACAACAACGGATCTCTTCCCCGTTTCCCCAAGTGTTTGTACCGATGTTAATTTGAACTAGATCACTGTGCTAGCCTAACTAACGGACGCGACGCACGTGGATGCAGTCATTCGGAATGCAATCTAAGGCATGGCCACTACTTAAAACTGATTAATATCATAAAAAATCTGTGTTTATTAGTGAGAAATTAGACCAATTGACGGTCGGAATTCCGTCCAATGATTGCTTAGAATAATTTGAATATTGACTTTTAGATTTATTCATGCTTTGAGTCTGACATAACGATAAGCGCGAACTAATAGATGAACATTGCTCCGTATGAGGTTTAGCATAACACAAAATCATTTGCATATTTTACTGCATGTAAATTTGAACTTGCAAAACTGCACAAAAAGCATTATAACTGAACTGCACTTTATTACATACATTACATAAATACCGCCAAAAGTAAATTTAAACTTATCGGTAAATAGTATTAACAGTTGCTTTTTACTAAAATAAATTTTAGTGAAACTAAAACAAACACAAACTTTAATAATTTTTATTTACCAAAAACTGACATACTCCTCGGATCACTTTACTTACTAAAACTTTGACTTTCAAATTACTTCAGATAACAAGTCGAATCTCTTGTTAATTTTCCGTAGGATAAGTTATAGTAATCGAAAATGAAAATTTTATATATTTTTACGTTTCAAAGTTTTCTAAATATTTTGGTATACCTTAGAAAAAATGGATGTATATGTGTGTGTGTGTGTGCGGATACAAATTTTGTCGACAATTTCGAGAACACCGATCAACCGATTTGAACAATTCAAAAAACATTCGATTCGTATTGATAAGGAGACGTGCTGATTAGTTTTTGGCGCAGACAGGCAACTAATCAGCACGTCTCCTTATCAATACGAATCAAATGTTTTTTATTTATTTAAATCGGTTGATCGGTGTTCCCAAAATCGTCGACAAAAATTTGTATCCGTTCGGTGTAGGTGTAGCCGTTCCGAAGATACGAAGCAAAAAGTGCCAAAACGGTAACTCAGTATTTAAGAGAACAGAGTGTCCGATTTTAATAATTCAAAGAACATTTTACTCGTATTGACAAAATGAAGAACTGATTAATTTTTTGGGAAGGCAGATCCAGCGGTTATGGACTCTCAATAAAAATAAGTTAAAAAATGTCATTTGGCGGTCAAAATGTTTATTGGACTTATGTACATCAGATTATCAGATATTTTATAGAGATTTTAATAATATGTACACATTCTGTGTAATTTTTTTTGGGTTTCGTACCAAGATTTTTAATTACGGTACAGGAAGTTCCAGCAATTTGCCTTAAGGCACGATGCCATGCACCCCACTAGTTCTGTCTATATTTATTGGGATCCTAATGCAACATTAAACAACGATACAAGATTAAAACAGTTAATTCTATTTAATAATACATGTTTTCTATCATTAATAATTAAGTATTACCTTGATATATGTATTATTGGTGCAATAAGCAATAATATGCATCGTTCTCTATCTTGAGGCTATATATCGAGAAGCGCTTCATATTAGATGTAAATGTCCAATATATAGAATTACATACAGACATGTAATCAGTTTCAACAGCTATTTTACTTAGTAGGTATGGTATTGATACAATGGTATTGATTATATCTAGGAATTATTATCATATTCGTTATATAAGTTTTCAAAAATTTGCAGTAGTAGTAAAAATATCTGGTTGGTGGGAGCCATCTCAATTAAATCTTAACCTCAGTGTGCACTTATTGTGTTGATATAAATTGCATCAATAAAATGAAACATCGTATTATATCATTCCATACAATTGATTTTAGTAAAAGAACTCTTTACCGATAAGTTTGAATTCCTCATAAAGGCGTTTAGACTAATGACAGCAAAATTAAAAGCGCCAATTCCAATTAGAAACAATTAGGAATTTGCTTTTGAAAAAAAATTATTTTTTCACTGGATTTAAGTCATCAACTCTCCTGATAAAAAATTTGAAATAACTTAGTCATTATTTATAAGAAATTATTTTATAAGTAAATAGTTAAAATTATATAATCATCAATAAAATATTGTGAATATTATATCGAATGGGAGAACAACTATGGAGTTGTTTTTCCAACATGCCCCTTTAGTATACAATGTCCCTTCACGGCCGACAATTGTAAATTCCACAAATTTATTAAATGTCCTTAATTGGACAGTTGTAAATATAAGAGAGAATAAAAAAAACAATAATAATATTTATTGAAATTTTTGATTATTCGTTCATCACGTCATATAATGAAAAAAAAATCGAATCTTATTGAAACCGATCGGTTTGAAATCCCTGTTCAAATCTGATATATTAAATAAACAAATTAATTCTTTTAGTTACAGATTCAGGATTATAAAAATGTACGTTAATTAATGACGATATCTTATGCACACAGCTGATTGATAATTAACATGATCATTACACTTGTAATTGGCATTTAATAACAGTTGCATGAATAATGTATGTTCGATATATATTCAACTTTTTTATTTTCGGCCTTTTTTATTTTAACTCGATCGTTTTACATATGTCGCACATCAACCCGTTAGCGACAAACTGGTTCAGAAACGAAATTATATCACCGAACACATTAAATTTTAATAGATCGCTTGCATTGAAGCATACATCATTCCGACACCTTGTTAATGGGTACTAAATAAATAGAGCGAATACCTTGTAGAGATAAGATTTACAACACGTTGTTTCAATTTTTGAACAAGTGTTTAGGTCTTTATGTCGTTAGGTAAAGAATTTGATATGTTAATCAGACCATATTAAATGAGCTGAAAGCTCTGCAGAGAATTTGTATCAGCAAAGTTATACATTTTTGAATTTTTTAGGAGTCCATTTCTGGGCGAATGCACAGGACGTCATTAATATCTGATGCTAATGTTCCGTTTGCTTTATAAAGTGCATTCATTAAAATACGGTGTCATAATTGCGATATGTTTCGGCCTTTGAATGAGGACTACCCTGAGGGTATTCTCGAGTCTGCTTTTTTGCTGTTTTTTTAACACTTCAAGCTACTTACTTATAGCTACTTTGCCATTGAAGTGTTAAAAAATCAGCAAAAAAAACGAAAAATATTTGAATTATTTTATTTCTAGATCTTATTCGCTTAATTTAACATTGAAAATATTAATTATTAGAGAGAATATGGTTAAGTTCGAAGTGCTATCATATATGGAGAGATTTGATAGTACGGCGAGAGCAGCAAAGACTTTGAGGCGGCCGTACTCTCAAACTATCAATTTTACAAAAAAACGGTTCTCTAAGGAATTGTAGGAAATTTTATCTAGTTTAATTCGTACATAAATACTTTTATCGTAGAATCAGCCAGAAAGGAGATATTTTAAAAAAGCTGTTGTTTGACGCCATTTTTCCAACATGGCGGCAACTTACCGTTTAAATTTGAGGTGGCAAAGTTGATTTTCGTAAAGAGCACATTAAAATCTATAAGATTACCAATTTTCAGAATTCCCGGAGTACTGTACCGGCAACAGCCTTTTTTTGCACCAAATGACTGGACTACTATTATGCTTGAAATACTTCTAACTATCAACGTTTCTCCGGTGATTTAGGTGTCAGATGTGTATCAAGCTTTCCATATTGCTTCTGTCACTGGTGGTACTATGTCTGCCCCGGACGTGTCCTGCCCAGGCCGAGCAGCGTACGGAGTCGCACCATCGTCAGAAAAGGCTGTTGTGGGTTACCGAAGACGGAAGACTAGCCCTGCCGCCGGGCACGGCGCTGGTGATCACACCCTCGTTGGGTTTGCCGTTCGTGCGATACCCGCCGGATGGGTTTCATTCCAATTTGTCAATCAGTTTGCCATTCACAAGTAAGTGTTATAGTTATCAATAATAATTTTATTAGTGTAAGATATTATTGAAATAATAATTAAAATGAAATAACATCAATACTTTTCTAGTTTTTTTTCTTTCTATTTGCATGAATTTGTCTACAAATAATAGATTTGTTCATTTACTATAAGAATATTGAATTTTGATCCAAATGTGAACTTGTGGTTAGTATCATGACCCGTCAACTCCTCTTTCACTATTATAATATTTTGGTTCGGCTGAGTTATAGCCATATACAGGGTGTCCCAGAACTCAATGTCAAGCCGTAATGGAATGATAGCACCGATCATAACTATCATGAAAAAATGAGAAAACTAGAGGGGCGCATGGCATCGTGCTTTAAGGCAAATAGCCGGAACTTCTGGTACCAAAAACTATAACTTTTTTAAAAACGATTAACATTTTTGAAAAAAAATTATTTCGAAAAAATTAGATTTTTGAGAAACTATAAATTTGACAAAAAATTCCTTTTTTTTTAAAAAAATGTTTTCTTTATTTTGACATATTTTAGAAATTTTGAACTTTTTTTCAAAGCAATCGTATTGCTTTAACTGCATAGAGACAAATTGTCAAAGCGCGTAAGCGCCGCGTTGCCGTCTAACTGATAAACATTGGTACGGAACCCATAGGAATTTAAACAAAATTTATACTTATTGTTAAAATCTCTATAAAATATCTGATAATTTGATGTGCATATGTCTAATGATCATTTTTGACCGCCAAATGGCATCTTTTTTTACTTTTTTCATTAGATCTCTGAAACCGCTAGACCTTCATGAAAATTTGATCAATTCTTCATCTTGTCAATTCAAATAAATGTTTTTTGAATTATTCAAATCAAACGCTCTGTTCTCTAAAAACTGAGTTACCCTTTTTGACACTTTTTGCCCCGTATCTTCGGAACGGCTAGACTTGCCTTCGCCAAAAACTAATCAGTACGTCTCCTTATCAATACAAATCGAATGTTTTTTGAATTATTCAAATCGCTTTATCCGTGTTCCCGAAATCGTCGACGAAAATTTATATCCGCACACACATACACACACGCACACAAACATACACATACACACACATACATCAATTTTTTCTAAGGTATGCCAAAATATTCAGAAACCTTTGAAACGTAAAGATATATAAACATTTTCATTTTCGATTTTTTTGCGATTACTATAACTTGCCCTACGGGAAGTTGAAAAATCTCAGTTTAAAAATTATGAGCTTTTAAATAACCCAGAGCTTTGGCCAAACAGCAACCATTTTTCGGTTATTGTAATTACTTTTCATTGTTTTAGTTTCTTTAAGCTTGGAACCGCATACATGAATAACATACCTAGGACCAGAGTTAAGAATAATTACACATTTGCTTCAAGTTTTCAAGAAGTAAATCTTTTTGTTAAATTATGAATTTAAAATTTTCAAAACTACTCGACTTTTAGAAACCGTCATTTACAAAAATGTACTAAAGTGTTCCATCAAAAAGTTGGCGCATTTAATAAGGATTGTAAAATTCTTGAAAACTTGGAGCAAACAATAAGAGGTGACAATTTGACGAAAGCTCTAAAATGCACTTAAAAACACATAATTTTCAAACTATGTGGAATTTTTAACTTCCCGTAGGGCAAGTTATAGTAATCGCAAAAAAATCGAAAATGAAAATTTTTATATATCTTTACGTTTCAAAGGTTTCTGAACATTTTGGCATACCTTAGAAAAAATGGATGTATGTGTGTGTGTGTGTGTGTTTTTTTTTTTTATAGAGGTGCGAAAAAAAATCTTCATAAGACACCGCCATCGTTGATACTCCGCTGTCCATCCTACAGCAGACAAAGATGGACGGCCGTGTGGAGATTTTTACCCACTAAAAAAAACACTCCTCTCCCCTCTCCCCGCAGATGGTACGGGGAGGACTGGATTGGAACCGCGTTAGCATTACATCAATCCAGTCCGTGCTGCGCCTTGCGACGCTTGTTTACGACTACTGATCCCTTTCTCCGATTTTAGCCTTCAAAAGATGCTGTGCATAAGCTGCTACAGCTGACCAGTTTTCTTCTTGTTTCATCATGTAGGTCACAAGACTTGAGGGGGTGAGCCTGGTGCCTATAATATGCTCGGCGTTGTTGCGATAATCCTTCCACCTAGCACATTCAAAGAACGTGTGCTCAGCGTCGTCTATTTTATATGGACAGTATTTGCACATTGGCGTGCTATGCAAGCCCATCTTAAAAAGATAGGCATTAAACTGTCCATGTCCTGTCAGTAGCTGGGTTAGAAAAAAATTTGTGTCGCCGTATTTTCGAGAGAGCCAGACGCTAATGTCCGGAATCAAGCGCGCCGTCCATCTGCCCGTCTCTCCTGACGTCCACCGATTTTGCCACTCTTGTAACGTTTCATTTTTAATTCTCGACCTTGTTTCTCTGGAATTGTCGCCACCTAATTTAGCGTCGTGGAGTTTCACTCTCTCGAAAGCTAGCAAGTCAATCGGTGTGGCTCCTGCTATTACCAGCACGGCTGCTTCTGAGACCGTGCGATAGGCACAGGTAACTCTCAGAGCTCCTCGTCTTTTCACTGCCGCTATTTTGCGCCGATAAGTCTTTTGCTTGAGGATATCCGCCCATATCTCTGCTCCGTATAGCAGTACAGAATGGACTACCTCAAGCAGGACTCGTCGTTTTCGGGTTCGTGGTCCCATGCAGTTAGCCAGCCGTGTGTGTGTGTGTGTGTATGTATGTATGTATGTATGTGCGTGTGTGTATGTATGTGCGGATACAAATTTTCGTCGACGATTTCGGGAACACGGATCAACCGATTTGAATAATTCAAAAAACATTCGATTCGTATTGATAAGGAGACGTGCTGATTAGTTTTTGGCGCAAGGAGGTCTAGCCGTTCCGAAGATACGGGGCAAAAAGTGCCGAAAACGGTAACTCAGTTTTTAAGAGAACGGAGCGTCCGACTTTAATAATTCAAAAAACATTTTACTTATATTGACAAGGTGAAGAACCGATCAAATTTTCATAAAGGCAGGTCTAGCGGTTTCGGAGATCTAATGAAAAAAGTAAAAAAAAATGCCATTTGGCGGTCAAAAATGATCATTAGACTTATGCACATCAAATTATCAGATATTTTATAGAGATTTTAACAATAAGTATGAATTTGGTTTACAGTCCTATGGGTTCCGTACCAACGTTTACGCGTTATACGGCGACGCGGCGCTTACGCGCTTTGATACTTCGTCTTTATGCAGTTAAAGCAGTACGATTGCTTTGAAAAAAAGTTTAGATCTTCCAAAATATGTCAAAATAAAGAAAAAAATTTTTTTTTCAAAAAAAAAAATTAAAATATTTTTTTTTTTTTAAAAAAAATTTTTTTTTCAAAAGAAAGTAATTTTTGGTCCAATTTATAGTTTCTCAAAAATCTTTTTTTTTGAAGTAAATTTTTTTCAAAAATGTTAATCGTTTTTTGAAAAAAAAAATTGGTACGGGAAGTTCCAGCAATTTGCCTTAAGGCACGATGCCTTAATGTCTTAAGACAGAATTCCACTTACAGCTAGTTTTTTCTATTTTTTTATGACAGTTACAGTCAATATACTATCACCGTTTTGGCGTTGACGTTGAATTCTTCGATACCCCAGTATAACGATCCAAAGTAATAAATTCTAGCTATCGATATTATTATCAGTTCTTCATTCGCCCTCAACTAGACATGAAAATTGTACCGAAGATGCTTGTAAAATAAAAAATAGTTCAATGCGACCCAATATAAGATATATGGCTGTCGCTAGAGACATTTTTTCTGAAGCATAAATCTATTATTTTAGTCGATTTCGACAAACTTGGCTTGACGGACAACGAAAATCCCTACGGTGTTCTTCCACCAGTTCTAGCCCGTTCAATGGGCCGTGCAGCAGGTAGTATGCTAGCAGACTACGTTGGAAGGTACATTACCCACAGGCGTAGTCGGCGATCTCCACCTAGTCTGCCCGAAGAAATTCGACATGCGTTTCACGGAGGTGAAAGGTAAATAATTTTCAATACTTAAGGAAAAAATAAATGTCTGCAATAAAACGTTTTCTAAATCAAATGTATTTGTAGAGTAATACTTTACGCGGCCTTAGAAGATCTTTTGAGTTCGTTTGGCATGGACGGTAAAGCCTGCTTACTCAGGGCGATTTGTGAGGTCCATGCTAGACCTATGAAGAGGCTTGGATTGATAGGAGAGATGCTCCGATTATTTTTAAGGTGAGAGATAATATAACTAAAATTTTATTTACATATTTTGACCAATTGTCTTAAACTGGAGCAGTGACCAATATAGAAATATTCTTGGAAAAATCCAACAAACAAAGTTTTAACATATTAACGTTCATTAACGTTTTCCTAGAACGTGAACCTCTATTGTAAGGATAATCGCGTGTCACGCTCTATATAGACAATTTTCACATTATTCAATAATCCCGATGTGTTTGATTACTATGTGTAACACTTTCGACTATTGATATTCGTGACACTTCTTTGCCTGAAACGATTCTGTAATTAAATCACGCGACAAGTGCTTAAAGTATGTAGGTAATTATGAGATGTTTGTACCATTTGCCTACTGAATCATTTTTTTTACCTTAGTACTCTTAATTACATGTTTCTCATGTACGCACGCAGAAATTGTATTGTGTTTTGCATTCGTAAGTTTTCTTTTTCTTTGCCGCCAATAGTTGTTTATTGACCTACTATAATTTGACACCTTTAAAATTTTACGTTTGAATTAACGAAATCAAATAGAAATTACTTTTATGCTCAAACATATGTTTCGTAAATATTGACAAACAACACTGAATTATTATTTCAGTGCAAGTAAATCACCATATTCTGACTACCTTCAAGAATATGTGGAGGCAGAAAGTACAGGCGCCGGAAATCAGGGCCAAACTGAATGTTGGCCTTATTATAAAGCTTGTCCAAAGAGTTTATTCTGGTCTTCAAATAAATATACGTAAGTGAGATAATGTAATGTCATAAAGTATAATTGAATATGCTAAAGTAATTATTAATATTATATTATGAATTTAAATTATTTGAATCGATAAAATATCGAAAATATCTTAATTCAATTTATTTGTAATATAAAGATGTTATTTATAGTTATATAAATTAAATTGCATCTAATTCACAGACAAGAGAAGGATGAAAAAAATCATAATGATGACGATTTGAACATAGAAGAAAATGTGATACCCAATATTGGAAATATGGAGAAAAGATCAAGTTCTATAAACCACAAAAGAAAACCCAGTAATAGTTATATGTAAAATAAATAGAGATGTAGTATTTTTATTCAAAAATTTGGTATTTGAGTACCTAAATAACTAAATAGATTAATAAGATAATTGAATAGATTAAAATGCGCCCGCAATGATAGAATATCGGCGCTAGGAAAACTGTTTCAAAGAGGTCAATATGATTTGAAGTAATATAGTTCAAAGCTAGGCTGTTTAAACAATATTACAATTATAATGTTTCTATTTATCAGTAAGAATCATTTTTGTTCTAATAATAGGGCCGTTATGATGTAGAATCACTTTGAAGTTAAAATCTTAAGCTTATGTTTATTGCAGCATATTATATTTAAAACACTTTGATGACTTTTCTCAATTAGAAGCGATTTAGTCATTATTAGTCAGGTTACATGTTAATTGTAGATTGCATGATGGATGATTGACTGCTGTGTTAAGTCTTTGTAAAAATAATTAATTTATACCAGTTATTTATTAAATGTTTTTATGGGTAGTATTTATATCAGTGCCAAGTTATAATACTTAGAATTTAGTGTTATCTTGTTGTGTATAATAATTGAAATATAGTATATAGTATATATGTATATATATACAGTATATATCATAGTTGATAGTGCAAAACTGTTACGCCCCTTATAATATAAATATAAATAATTGACAAAATAAATAAAGTTAATAAAATAGCATCACTAACTCAATATATTATACCTGCTCCGTTTTAATTTTTAAAAACTCAAAATCATGCTCGAAATAATTTTTAATAACTACTGTTATCATTATCATGGGTGAAATAATATGAACATTATTTATTTTGCTTTATTTTTAGAGTTAATTATAACATTATGATATATTGTTATAGATACAAATAATTTAATATAATAGGATATTTCTAATGATTGGTATTTTTATTTATTAGATCAATTTTAGTATATAATATAATAAACAAAAATTTTTACTTTAAAATAATAAAATGTGAACCCTAGTTTAAAATTGAGTATAGATTGAAGTAGAGAAATTTGTCGTGCTAATAACAATTTCACAAATCGAATTTAAAAAGTTATTATAAATTATTATCTTAAAAAATATCATTGCTAATACAATTAGTACTAGCAAACTGCTGCAATTAAAGCTTCTTGTAAATAACGAGAAATTCTTAGCAGAAGTGCCGAAGCAACAGGTTTAAACCAGAGATCAAAAACTAATCACACTGTTTTCTTTTTCTTCGAAATATTCGATTTTTTAAATTTAATCTTTTTCAAACAAAATTCTTACAAGCTTTAAATTTTAATCAACATAACTGACCGTTTAAATTATTTTTTTTACTTTTAAGAGGAATTAAATGGCACTACATATTGCGATTACTATCCAAGATTCACTAAAGTTAATATTAGAATGAAAGATTGTGGCAGTCGGACAGATAAGCGAACGTTCGACTCTAATAAGATTTTTCATATCGTTGTATTAAAAAAGTTAAAAGAATTAAACAAATAATCTTATTTTTATTTTTCAAATGAAAGTTTCTTTGCCTATATTCAAAAATTGCACACAATAGGATCTCCAACAAAACGGAAAGCGCATGCTCCACATCTCAATTGCGAAAATATAGACTTATGTCAAATGCGCAATTCCTACTGTAAATATAACGAAATCAAAGCACCACAAGCAAAATGATTAAGGTTAGTTTACGTGAATTAAACTGATTTTGATAACCAATGAACTATTTGTGTTAATGACTTTCCAGTTATGTCTACTTGCGTCACTGTTTTTCCCCATTCATACGCGTTTTTTAGTCAAGAGGAGTTACTCGGATGAATCTGTGAAGGGATACTTGACTGACGTAAGTATTTGGGCAATTAATGCAAAATAAATCATGGAAAAGGGTATCAGAAAATATTCATTTTGATTTCAAGAAAAAAATCAATAAATTAACTTAGATAATATTGTGAAAAAAATTTAATACATGGCTATTGTCATATAGCAATAAATAAATTAATTTTGTACGCGATGGCTTAAAATTTTATAATTGGCGATTTTCTTAAACAATTTGTTTCAAATAGTAAGCAAATTGTTTTATAAATAGTAAGCAAAACATACATTTTTCACAGAGATAAAATTGTAGGTTATAGAGATATTATGAATAGTAGGGTATTATAAAGCATACTAAAGTGTTATTGAAAATCACAGATAAAATATTAATGTTACATTAATTTTATATGTCAAACTTTTATGAAATTTTATTATTTAATTCATATTCTTATTTGATCAACTTCATTTATAAATGATTGAATAATATTGAATGTATGTTATAAATAAAATTAATTTTCAATTACATAAAATTAATTTTAAGTATTTGATGGTCAAATGACCTGGGCTTGATTTTTCCAAATATAGAAATTAAAATTATATTGTTCTATTTTATTGCGTCTGTATTTGAAAAACTTAGAGTTGTTCAAACTATAAATATTTAATTTTTACTTTTTAAAACAGACGTTACATATAGTAATAAGGAAGCATTCATTAATCACGAAATATGACGTCGAGAAAGGGTAATCCCAAATTTTTCAAAAAAAAAATGCTACGGTTTTTTCCAGGTTCATACTAAATATTCGCGTGATGTTGGGTGATAGAGCTAAATTTAAATATCACCAGGGGGAGGGATGGGTTCAAACTGCCTAAAAATCGATCACGTGAATAATGGAGAGCCCAAATTTTTAATAACTATTAATAAATAAATATAACCGACTTCAATTTATGATTGTAAATTCAAACTTTCAACTAATTCAAAGATATCTTTTTCGCAATTGATGAAATTTAACTGGCCGTAAACTATGATAAGCAAACTGTATAATAATCAAATATTGCAGTTCATAAAATCATCCCAATAAACTAAGTTATTGTATATTATAAATAATATATTAATTTAAATTAAAATTACCTTGATGGGTCACTTAAACATTTCAAGCGTACTTGCTGGTGGAACGAAGTTTGCAAGGAGGAGTTCCAAACGCTCTTCCGATGTCGTTGTCCTGGTTGGAGCTATTGCAGAAGCCCTGGACGATATTATAACGCTTTCTGCAGCATGACACAAACCGGGTAAAACTATAAAAAAAGCAATTAAAATACTTAATTAACCATCAATTTACATTTCATCAATGCATAATGTAATATAGTAAGCCAATACAAAATTTAACGTACAACAGCTCACTGGAAGACTAATTTAAACCTACAATGTTGAATAGGATAAAAGTTTTCATTTATAACGAGTAAATCAATTTTTCATCATAGCTCAATAATGCCCCTATAATATATTGATACAAGCTCCCAAAAATTGATCACTTCATATATTTGCCAGATAATTAATATATATCACTGTTATTAACTGGTTTTAAGTAAAAATTGGGTTTTTATCATTCCTTTTGTATTTTATACCAAATTTTGATTTTATTCTCATTTTGATATTTATCATCTCAAATCATTAAAATTTTGATGTATATTTTAATCTGACTATACTTCATTCTACCTCGGATATTGTGTAGTCAAATTATCTTCACTCGGTTAGGTATAGTGTTAAATTTTGAGGTTTGATTGCCTTAATGTGAACCGTTGCGAGCAGTGTTTAATAGCGCAATATCCATTTATCACTGTCAATATCTACTTAAGTTCAACCCTATACAATGATCAGAGAAACCATACCGAGAATTCAGTCATATTAATCACACGCGGCCCTTATTTGATAAAGATTTATAATATGTTATCTTTTGTACAATTTCTAATCAAATTTTGATGGAGTTAGAATCATTGAAGAATTCATATTAAATTATATTGGAATGTATTTTTATATTACTTTTCTATTTCTATTACCTTTCTATTACCTTTAATGTAACAAACGGTATAGTTGCTTCCCCAAAGTTTTCAATAATTTAAATGATTTGATAAATTTTTGAGTTAATATGAGATATAACAATACTAATATGAGATTTCTGATCATTCAAATCTATCATTACTTTCTACCATTCAAACGATTTGAAATTCCAAAGTTTTAAAATAGTTGCAACTGTATGAGCTCATTTGTGAGCTCTATAATCATATTGAAAAATTATAATATTTGCGAACGTATTTGTCTATGTTTAAATTGCTATCTTATTAATACAAAATAATATACACGATTATTTTCATAACAAATGTTAATATCCATTATTTTTACTAATTTTCTTTCATAATAATAGGAAGCACGTGGCGCAAATGGTTTAGAGCCATAAGCCATAACTTCAACGATAAGTTTTTAAAATTCAAATCCCGCGATACGTACACCCTAATGAAAATGGAACACCTAGTTCTCATTTCTGTTCAACAAAAACAAAATTTTTATAATAAATAAATCTGTAAACTTTAGTAAAAACCGTATACTTGAATGTTACATACAGCATACAGGGTTTTAACTGTTGTAAATATGCCTTATTTTCAAAAAAAAGTAAGTAAAAGTAAAAAAGTTTCAATTTTGCAGATACATCTGGACTCAACCAGAACATAATTGGGAAGGTGCAGAAGTTGCCACATAGTGGCGGCTGGGGGGTCGCACCGAAGGCGGCCAACTACCCCAAAACAAATTATATCAAACTTCTGCCGTTCCAAAAACTGAAGAATCATCAACAAAACATTCAATTGTTCAGACTTTTGATAGGCCATCAACTACAACACATGCCCTACCTCGTGTAACAACCACCACTGTTGTAACACCCGTTGATGGTACTAAAAGAAAGTGCCAGTTACAGTAAAGGTCAGTAAAAAGTGATTGAGTCAAGTTTTATTTTATATGCATATATTTTTGCACAACAGATCGTAAAATTAATTTTTTTCGCAAAAAATATGTAGACAATTTAAATGTTGAAATAAAAGTGAGTTTCAATGCTTAATGTTATATTTAACATATGTATTTTTTTAAATTTTATTTCCCTTATTTCAGGGCGATAATGTAAAAATAATCCCAGAAATAGTAGTGCTATTCAAGAAATTGGTAAAGGAATATCTGATAG